TGCATTCCTGTGCTGTTTGCCTATATTCATCCTTTGTAATTTGTCCTAGTTTCCATTTTTTATATGACTCCTTTTTTATTTTTAGATCATGCAAAATCTCGTGGTTAAGCCAAGGTGGTCTTTTGCCATATTTTCTATTTTTCCTACGCAGCAGAATAGCTTGCTTTTGGGCCCTTAACAATGTCCCTTTGAAAAACTGTCAACTCTCCTCAGTTATTTTTCCTCTGTCTTGATTCCCATGGGACCCTCCCTATCAGCTCTCTGAGCTTACCAAAATCCGCCTTCCTGAAATCCGTTGTCTCTATTTTGATGTTCTCTCTTCTACCCTTCCTTAGAATTGTGAACTCTATGATTTCATGATCACTGTCACCCACGCTGCCTTCCACTTTCAAATTCTCAACCAGTTCCTCCCTATTTGTTAAAATCAGATCTAGAACAGCTTCCCCCTGGTAGCTTTTTCAACCTTCTGAAATAAAAAGTTGTCACCAGTGCAGTCCAAAAACTTATTGGATGGTCTGTGCCCCACTGTGTTATTTTCCCAACATATATCTGGATAGTTGAAGTCCCCCATCACCACCAAATCTTGGGCTTTGGATTATTTTGTTAGTTGTTTAAAAAAAGCCTCATCCATCTCTTCCACCTGGGTAGGTGGTCTATAGTAGACTCCTAGCATGACATCACCCTTGTTTTTTACCCCTTTTAGCCTAACCCAGAGACTCTCAACACTTCCATCTCCTATGTCTATCTCCACCTCAGTCCAAGTGTGCCTTTGCATTACTGTTTATTTTCTTTAAATAAAGGTCTCCTGCTGCTTTTTACCCCTTTTAGCCTAACCCAGAGACTCTCAACACTTCCATCTCCTATGTCTATCTCCACCTCAGTCCAAGTGTGCCTTTGCATTACTGTTTATTTTCTTTAAATAAAGGTCTCCTGTTGCACAAATACACTATTCTTTAGTGAAACATTGTATTCCATTTACGTTCTCTCCTCATTTGAATGTTTTGTTAATATTAATTGTAGAGAATAAAATATTTGTCAAAGTATTATTAAAATACGTCATTCTTTTCTACTATTTCTCGCACGTATGACTTTCTCCCAGGTTTTCCACCAAAGGACAATTCTGAAATGTTTTTATTTACCTGGAAATACGTATACAATTATTTAAGCAAAAGTCAGATTGTATCGCTTCTGTTAGAAATTGTATGAGTACCACTTTAAACTCAGGATTGAAAAATAATGTAATTTTTTTTTACTCAACAGGTGGTATGGATGTAGAAGAAAGAAATCGCCAAATGAAAATAAGCAAGTACAAACAGGCAGCAGGATCAGACTCCAGGCTGGAACAAGATTACCATTCTAAGGCAAGGGAGTTTTGTTTTCAAAAGCAGCAGAATTGCTAATCTGAAAGATTTGATATCCTTTTAGGATGATATAGACAAGTGAACGTTGCATTGGGAAGGACCTTTTTACTTCACTAAGAGGTTCTTACACGTCTGTTGTAATTTAAATAAGTGCAAGCAAACACACACACCTCTATAATATAAGATATAATATAAAACTACTAAAGTTTAAGAGTTTATGAGTTAATTGATCAAATTTATCTGCTTCAAAATGTGAGAAATGACCATTTAGTTGGCCAGTGGTATGAGCAATTAAGACCCTTGTTTAGAAAAGATAGAGGAAGCAATTGACCTTAGAATGAGATCCACTAAAACCTGTGCCTGTCAAGCAAATAGATAGCCCTCAAAAATATTTTTATTCATAGTTTTTTTTTACCTTCCAAAGAATTCTATAGCACAGACATCATAGCTTATATTTATTCTAGTTTAGCCATTGGATATATAATCTTCCCGGTCAAATCAGTACACAAGATTCCAACTTAATTGTGTCAATTTGCCAGAAATCAGGCTGGCTGTGTAGTAATGCCATTCTAGAGTCATGCTCCAAATTTCATATTATTTGGAACAGGGTCTCTAAGACCTGATAAATCGATTTGAGACTGTAAATGGTCAACATAAATCTTCTTAGCCATAGTGGCTTGCTGAGGAAAAGAATTTTGTTGCAGACATTGTATGTTAATTGTGTAGTTGATTATTCCAAGTAATGAAGAAGATAAGGTAAAATTAGGTTATTTAATGTGTGAAAATAAAGAAGCCATTCACTGTATTAAGTACCATTAGTTTTATAGAAAAACTAGATTAATGTAGTAAATTACTTTCTAGTTATGTAATTCCTTTTAGTAAAAATGGGCATAATATTGTGGGAGTATTGCATGAGGGCCTCATGAAAAGTCCTAGACAAAATAGAAGAATCTGTTACTGAGTAGATACAGAATTTATTGGAACGAAGGGAAAACGATATTATCATACTCTGAACACTTAGACCAATAGAAATATTGTTTGACTTAAAGGATGTGTTCATAGAAGAGTCTGTTACTGAAAAGATTTAGAATTTATTGGAACAGAGGGCCAACTATATTGTTATCTTCTGAACATTTAGACCAATAGACATATTGTTTGACTTAAAGGATGTATTTAACTTAAGGGATGTATTCGCTGCTATGTAAGGGTACTTCTACACTTGCTCCTCAAAAATGAGGAGTAACGTTAGTTCGAACCAAGGGGTTTGATTCGAACTAATGCGTCCCAGAGCACACTTCCTGGTTCGAATCAACGGGTGAGCGGAATAGCATGTGGGCGAGATTATGCTAATGAAGCACAGGATATTTAAACCCCCGCTTCATTAGCAATTTCTGTCAGCTACATTTGCATCCCTAGTTTGAACTAGGGAGCAAGGTTAGACATACCCTACGGTAATAAAATTTATAAGGGGATTTGGGTCAGGAAATAGTCTCATGTTTATTTTATATGGAAGCATCACTTTTACATTAATCAGTTATGCCCTCTCTTGAAGGGCATTTATCTTTTCTTGTACATGAATGGACTTGATGTGACCAGTCTTCCCCATTAATAACTGCAATGATCTTATGTACTATATAAGGATGGTGAATATATAAATAGATCTAATTATTCTGCCAATTCAGTTGCTTCCTCACTGATTCTATCTCCTTTGGTCGCAGTGTAGTTCCTGTCTCCGTAAGGCAGCAGTGGTACTACAGGTATAATAAAGTGCACCCATGAGCCCTCAGAAGGGTTTTTCAAGGGAAACCATATGGAACTCAGGATGACACCGTGTCTCTCTGCATCATCATTTCTGCTCTGTCACCCTATATTTCCCCTGCCCCCCTGCAAAGTTTGATATAGGACTGATTTCATAAAAATAATCATTTCTGAATTATGCAGTCTGCCTCTAGAGATAGACTGTCAGATTTATTTCCTTGCAAGGCTCCACTTTTTACTATTGGAAAGGGAATAATCTGCCTTACCAGTTAGCCCAGACAGACTGGCCATGGCACATTCACAAGCTTCACTGAGTATGTAGCAACTGAATCTCATAGAATCCCATAAGATCTCCTAAATACATTTCTTCACAGAAAGAAAGAAAAAAAGATCTCTTAAAGTCATACCAAGAGAGTTCAAACTTCTTTTTCTCACCATTTCACTGTTGGTTCAGATTTTATGAGGTAAATATTAATATTACTTAGATATAAGAAAATTAATTAGCACATGTGATATATCTGGTTTCTACTAAATATCTTCTATATTGCTAAACTGATCTGGGTGTGTTCAATAACGGAAAGCTCCTAATGTATGTCTATTGCCACTGGCTTTGATTTTCTAAATTTCTCACCTAGCTCAATGTGAATTGTGCTTTTTTTCTGTGAAGAAATGTATTTATTCTGATCAGGGTCATAGCCATAGGTGAACTGAGGCTGGAAACTGGGGCAGCAGTGTATGGTGCCAGCAAGCAAAGGATGCAGCTGGACTGACAAACCCTGAGACTGGGTCTGGAAGGGTAGGTAAAGCTAGAACCCAAGCAAGGCCCCCTCTTCCCCATGGGCACTCCCCACAGCCTATGTGCTGAGGATGCCTGCAGAGCAGAAAGGGAAGGCAGGTCCCCTATCCTTCCTGACTCCTTTCTCTGGGGCATTGGAACCCTCCTGCCTCCTCTTCTTCCTGACCCCCTTCTCCAAGGGGTTCAATCTTTCCTGCATTCCCAATCCTTCCTGTCCCTTCTTCCCAGGGTCCTCCATACTTCCTGCACCATTCTGCCCTTTCCTCCCACCCACCATCATTGCTTGCCCACTTGAAGTCTGGGCCCACCCAATTTTCCTGTCCTAGTAACCACTGCCCTGCTTCAGCCTCTTATTTCAGGGCAAGTTTCTTTAACTAAGCTATAGATGGCATACAAGTGGAGTTTAGCAGGAGGCATTTTCTGTTGTATCTCCATTCTATGTTTTCCTTTTGATGGAAATAAACATAATTACTATTTGTTGGGGGACAATAACTGTCCAGTTATCATTGCTAAGGAAGTGGAAAGGTATACCAACAAAAATAGGACTAGTCAAATAGAATTAAACCAATGGTCTATCTAATATTGTTCCATCTCTGACAGCTGCCAGTACCAGATGCTTCAGAGGAAGCTACAAGGAAAAAAGACAATTATGCAATAATAAGCCTGTAGAGGAAGATTTTTCCTAAGCCCAGGTCTCTTAGCTGCTGAAGTATGAAGTTATCTTTTCTTTATAACATTTTCATTTAGCTGGTATGTCCGTATATTCCAAAGTTGTTGTAGTCTTATGCTGAAGTTAAGCATGACCACTGATGATAGTTACTCATGGCCACTTTTCAGTATGCATGTAGGCGCCTTTTTTATATATTTTATATGCTTTCTTTCTAACTTTTTTTGTTAAAAGAACAAATGTGCTTGCTCAAAAAGTAACTTGAGTGGTAACTTGGAACTGCTGGCAATACACTAGTCTTGCTTTGAGAGAGAAAACAAAGCACAGGAGTGGGTTTTTAGACAAACCAGCAGGCTGGGTATGTTACAGTGTAAAGTAGGCAGCTATGCAGACTTAAACTCCCCAGTCAGAATGAAGTGAGACGTGGGGCTCTGCCCAGGAATAGTGATGGCTAAGAGCTGAAAAACCTTTAAGTGATTGACCTTGAAGGACCATGGGGGAGGGAATACAAGTGTAGTTACCATGCAGCTATGACACTTACTACCACAGAATAATATTGAAGTAAAATGCTTAGTAGGATTCCAAAAAGGATTAGATATATAAATAACCATGCACTGTACTACTTCTGATCCCCTGGTAACATTAGGCAGAGAGTTTATTTCCCTCTTAGAAGAAGGAGGAGAAGGGATAGGGCACACTTGGAGGAGGAGATAAGTAAGAGGCTGGGCACGGGTGGAACAGAGGCAAGAGAGTCAGGGTGGTGGGTTGTGAGTAGGGGTGGAGTCAGGCATGATGGTGGAGGGGCAAGCAGCCCCCAGCAAGATGAGAAGTCAGCTCTTATTCATGTGATAACATCAGTAGAGCAAAAAATTATACTTCTAGACATAAATTCATCCCTTTCCTAGTATTGATTATCACATGCAAACTTCCAAAAATAATTCTATAAACAATAATATTTGTGGCACAGGTACTGACATTGCAGATTGGTGTCCTGCTAAATCCTGTTTAATTTAGAGCATGCAAACTTGTAGTTCTCAAGATTTATATGAGCTGAAGCATTTTTGAGAATTCTAGGTTTGAGTTTCAAAGGAAGATAGATGGCAGTGATGAAGATGGTTCAGGAAATGTCTCTCCTTCCATTGATAAACTATATCCACAACCTTCCTCATTTTTTACAATATTTATCTAATGTGTTTGGATAGAAATGCAGACTAATGAGATTGTTTATTTTTCCCTCGGTAGCTTTAGTCTTTCTTCTGATATTGTTGAAATCCAAATTAAGCATTATTTTACATTGGTGTCACAAATCAGATTAGCTGTTTCTTCTTCATTAGCTGATGTTGTGTTTATTCTGCTTCCACTCCTTTTTATTTTATTTTTTAATTTTCTAATTTTTGTCTTCTATATTATAGGCTAAGCAAGAATACTGTTAAATATTATGTAGATATTTTCCCTTGAAATTTTTGTTTAATCAAGAATCTAATTTTCCACTGAAAATCAGTTTTGATTAAAAATTTTAATCAGCTCTACTAATGATCAAAAAAGACAATGGCATGGATACTATTGTCCTAGCCAAATTCAAACAAGGGCAATCATACTCTGCCTACCTGATTTCTTCTCACAATTTTCATTAAAATATAATGCCTTCATTTTATGTCCAAAGCTATTCTGTTGTTATTACCTGATAAGATATTAGTGCATTTTAGATCAGAGATGGCTATATTTTCATGGTGAAGTAAATGATCTCTGTATATATTTTATCTGTTAGTTTAATCTGTA